CAGATGCAATGGGCACTAATGATAAAAAAGAAGATGGTTAAAGGAAGTAAAGGAATTTAAACTTAAGAGCATTTAGAAGATGTCATGAGATTATATAATTAGAATCATTATTCAGGGCAAGAGTGAAAAGTAAACATATAAATAATCTATTGGTATTTTATTTCAGTACTAATAGTGTGATTTTAAGTAGGCTTGTGAATATTATTACTTAAATTTACAGTTAGCTGCCAGCACAAATCTGGCCTTCACATCTTGGGCATGAGGGGTGATAATCAGCTCTGTATCTCATAAATATTCATAACCAATTAAAAAAGAAATTTGTACATTTAAAAAAAAGAACCCTGAAATACATTACCAGCTACATAGTATGTGTATAATCAGATGTAAATTCTAGTGGCAAAATCCACTGGCTTTGAAATAAGACAGAACTGGGTCTAAAACAGGTCTCCTCTACTTAGAATAGTTAACAAATTGAAGAAGTGATTTCACTTATTTCAAGCTTAATTTCTCCATTTATAATATGGATATGTTAATAATACTCATATCTTTGAGTTGTTAGGTGGTTGTGGAATTTATGGAATGCTAAGTGTTAGGATGGGGACTGGCAAGTCAATAAAGTGCTCACTAAATTTAGCTCTGATTGTAGTAGGAGCTCATCAAATAGTTCATAGTTGATTCACATCTACTGGGGGTGGGGATTTTGTGCCCCAAAGACATTTAGCAAATCAAAGACATTTTCGTTTGTCATAACTTGGGGGGGGTGTCTTAATACTGACATCTAGAGGGTAAAGGACAGAGTTGTTGCTAAACATCACACAATACAAAGGATGGCACCCCACAACAAGGAATTATCCAGCTCCAAATATTGATACAGTGGGGATTAAGAAACTCTAACTAAAGAATGGGTAGAATTCATCTCTCATCAGCTTATCTAGAGACGGTAGCATTTGAAAACCCTTCAAAGAGAGAGAAAGAGAAAATGATGATAGAAAGTTATATTTATAAAAAATAAAATTCATGCAGAATACCTCCAAAATAATTTTAAGAAAAAAAGACACATATTACATAAACCTGGATAAAAAGGTGTTTCCTTAAACCTTAGCATGCAAAATTGTCTTTGATACAAAACCAAATGTATCTATTCAGCAAGCGGCACAGAGGAAGAATGGAGTAGAATATTTACCTGATGAGTGATTATTTACCTCAATGGAGAGAAGCGACTACGAGAAAGTAAATATAATCTGCATATATTTTTACACAAAATATTTGACTGGGCATTGATAGAA